AGAATCACAACGGTCAACCCTCCACCCCTTGAATCCACTTTGTCAGCATCACGTACAAATGACTCAGGTAGGTCAACATGAGGAAAAAAACTTAATCTGCATGATGGGTAGGAAGGGGGGGGGGGGGGGGTGTTCTTTCAAGTGGCGCTTGAGAATTCCATGATTCACAGTTTTATTCTTATTTCTTATATGTATAATTTCTAAAATGCTACGTTCGGTGTTGTCCTGTGCTACTTTGATGCCATCGAAGCCTAAGGACACTAGAATGGGTAGGAAAATATTGAAAAGTATTCATTAGTCTCAATTGTTCTCTTGCTTTCCCAACATGTGATTTTTTTCTCAGGGGTCACTCCACTGCGCTTCCATCACATCAAAGGTTGCCACATCACGTTGAACCCATTCCGCAATATTGCTACACGCGATCAGGCGGAATACTCACAAGGATACGTTTTCACAGAGAGACCCATCACAAATAACGAGAAAGTGATGATTCAGGTGAGCAGTCGGGGCACAGCTGACTCAACCAGGCTCTAGATGATCTTCTAACTTTTGTGCACATGTTGTGAAGTTCATGGGGTTCCATGAACCCTGAAGAACAAAAACTGAAAAAAAAAATCTAAAGATCAAATTCCAAAAAATTTGAATTCAGGTCAATCAAGTCCAACGTTTGTACGAAGGAGGACTGGCTTTTGGAGTAACATGTTGTGATCCAGCCACCGTTCAGGTTTCCAGTCTCCCAGAGGATTCGTCAGATTTGGTAGAAATGCCGGAATATTGGGTTGGAATCAAAGATATTGCTCTCCAACCGAAACCCAACAGTATTCTCTCCTTCTGGATTACTGATTCGGGTAAGAATTTTGAAAAGAAAAAACTAAAATCTGCGAATCAATAAGAATATTACTCTTATAAAAAATGTTATTTTCAGGAGAAGTGAAGTTCGAAATGGATTCCAATGGACCTCGCACTGTTCTTCACGTTGACAACTCCCTCAAGCTCTACATGTACTTTGACGTCTACGGATCTACTCTCTCCATCAAGCTTATGGGATGCATCCCTGTAGCCAGATCCCATTCTCCAATGGCTAGAAGCAGAGAAGGAACTTCAAGAAATGAACAACCCCTTTCAATTCCAACTCGTCCCGCTAGAATGATGGATATCTCGTCGTCATCGCTATTTGCCCCACCAGCACTTCCAGCTCGACCACCACCAGCACAACATAGTCCATTGAGAGTTAATGTTCGCGAATCTTCAGAGCCACCAGTAATGGTTCCAGCTCCTGTCATCGACGACCTCCTATTCCTTGATACCGTACCAAGAACGCCACCACCAATTGTGCCAAGGGCCAGCGTTAGATTTAGTTCATCTGCCAAAAAAATCGAGTTTGTTTCAGACAAATCTCACAGCTTCGTCATCAACGTCTCGCCTGCCTAATCGACCAACAACATCAGCCATGCCATCGTTTAGTCCACCACCACTGCCGTCGTCGTTCACAAATCTAGCAACAGCGGCTGGAAATGATAGAGAAGGAAGTGGAGAGCCGGGAGAAGGAGATGAATGCACTGTGAGTTTTAAATTGGAATTTTTTTGGTATAAATTTCATGGCCCTAAAGCATTGGTATATGAGAAAAAAATTGAATGATACTATTCTGAAAATTTATTTTGTTTCTGAACAAAGCTACAAGCTCAATAGTTGGCGATCCAAAGCGTAGTACTGTCAAGTTCTATGGTTTCTACATAAGTTGGTCCGAAAGCATTGATCCTAAAAGAAACTGTCGCAGGGCCACCATAGGCTGGCTGTTTTCAAGTATGACCCATTCTCAATGATGTTTTTACACCGTATTCCTTCTAATAGAAGCCCACCAAAACCGTCAGCTTTGAGCTCAATTATCTCGATTTTTGTAAAAATTGTCAAAGTTTTGTCAACTGATAAAATATTGGTGATATTATGATAAATAATTTATCAGTTGATAAAATTTTAGTATCTCTTATACGAATTGAGATAATTGAGCTTGAAGTTTACGGGCTGGGTGGGCTTCTAATACAAACACGAAGAACACAGTTCTCATTTTAATTGATATTTTTTTAGATCTGCATGGATGCTCCAGTTAACTCGGTTCTCTACACCTGTGGCCACATGTGTATGTGCTATGATTGCGGTCGCCGTCTTCTGGTCACCAAAGGAACGTGTCCAATTTGTCGGGCTGCTGTGGCAGACGTGATTAAAACTTACAAATCCTAAAAACGATTCATGCACAATACCATTTTTGTTTTCTTCTCATCCAATATGACTTTCAACTAGTTTTCAGAGTTTAGCACCTTGCCCAACGGTCCTGTTTGTACTTTGCCTTCCCCCGTTTTCTCGTTTCATCTCATATTTTAGCTTGAAAATTTCCCAATCAATTTCTGTGTGCTTTAGATACATAATCCTACGTTGAATCTAGGAACCCATCTCGAACATATGTAGGAGAACAATTATTTTCAACGTCGTATCCTTTACTGATTCGAGAAAAAGTCCCCCCCCCCCCCCCACATCCATACACCGGTCCTCAAAATCCCCCCAAAATCCCACTATGTCCTTTTTTTATGTGTATCTGAATTGCGTAGTCGCCTTTTTTGCTCGTGCTATGTGCTAAAGTGTCTTTTATTACAGAGCTCTATGTTCTGATTAGTGTATTATACATTTTTCCAATAAATTCTGTCAGAAGTAATGAAAATTTCTGAGTGTTATGTGTAAGAAACATAATTGAAAGCTAAAAACTTTAATTCCGAATCTCCAGGGGCAACACATCGAGTGTTGGGAATAACTGAAAACACTAGATTCCGTGTATTACACATTCAATTATTCCTATTCATTTTTTTTTGTTTTTTTCTCAAAAAATACGAGACACCGTTCTGTTCTTACCTCTCCCATCGCTTTCTTAGTGCTACTTCTTTTTTTCGTCCCGAATTTATTCACATTTTATCACTCTGCATTGTTTCTCGCGATTCGTTTTCTTGTGATCACATTTTTTCATTGTATTGATCGAAAAGATGGAACCCGAGGATGGTAAGAAATCGGTTGTTTTGGATCTTCGGTATTTGAAATTTTCAGAAGAAGCTAATGAAACTATTCTCTTCCAATGCTTGATGCCAAAAACTATCAGTCGACAGGGATTGGAAGCGACTGATTTTCATAGGAAGTTGAAGACTTCAGTTTTCTGTCACATTCGTTTTACTCGACCGATGCTCCAGGGTGATGATGTGGAGATTAAGGTTAGTTGATTGATCCGAAAATTGAATAGGCTGTATAGTGAACTCTTCCCATCTTGAATTCCTGAAGCTCTCAGTTGCCAATGTTTAACCGTTTTGTTAGTAATTTGGGTGGTTTTTGTTGGTCAAACAAGGTTCTCGCTAGATATTAATGGTATTAATGAAGAATTTGTCATCTGATTGTCACTTTTTTCAACAAATCGAGAGAACGGAGTTAGTCAGTGCTTGTCTACAGCCTTTATATGCACAATACCTGCGCATTCGGTGATAAGGCTCTCACGAGATTGCCCTCTGGGCTTAATCATCTCAATATCTATGAAAATATCAATAATTTGTCAGCTGATAAATTTATTTTCTAAGTATCATCAACACTTTTATAGATAGCAAATGTTTATATCTTGCTCAGCTATTGAGATAATTGAACTCAAAATGCAGGCGTCAGGTGTCATTCCATTAAAGCCTTCATGGTAACCAAGAGTGAGCTCTCACGAACATTTAAGGTAGAGTTTACGGTAGTTGTAGGAATCGTTTCCAAACTGCAGAAGCTGCAACAGTACCTGTCTGACCATTTTCAGGAGTCTGGAGCTCTGATGTCAAGTTTGTTCGGCTGATTATAGATTTATGGAAGACACCTTTTCATCTCACGTTTCCCATACAAAAACGGGACAAAAAGGAGTAGATTTTCTAGACTCCTGAAAATGGTCAAAATGATGGTCAAAATGGCCAAAAATCAACTGAAAAATATGTTGTTGTATATCTTATTAACCGGTACTGTGATTGAGTTTAGAGAGCGGGTATAATGTGCCAACTTGCCCGAAATACTCAAAAGCTGCAACTATATAATTCTCAATTCAAATTTCCAGGTTGTGTTCCACGACCAAAAGTCGAAGGCCAGATCCTTCTCTCCGTCACACCAGATGCTCTTCGCTTCTACAAAGCCAAAAATATCATCAAGAAAAACCCATTTGTCATCGATCCAGCACATGCATGGATTAGCAATCTTGCTAGTGATGACGAAACAAGAAAGCTCAGATTCGGTTTGAGATACAAGGATGGTAAATTGAAATTAATTAGTTTAAAGGAGACATTTTCTGATTTTCCGATTCCATCCAGCTTCGTCTTCCCGACGACGGCGAGTTCTTCACGTTCTTCCATATTCCACCAGGCGAGGACTTTATCATCATTGACATTTTCTTCTGTGAAAATGTCAAAAGCGTCTGCCTCCGTGATCCAAAAACTAGGAATGGTTCGGAAAAGGAAGGTCCATTGCTATATGAGAAAAAATCTCAAGTCATGATAATTTGAAAATATAAATTTCTGGCTTTTTCTGTGGTTTAATGTAAGTATTCTCATATGTTCAATTCTCAAAGTTCAACTTGCCATAATTTTTTCAAAAAGTGTCCATAGCGATTTTGTACCTTGTCAATATAAATGTCAATTTAGTTTTGTCGGAACTGTATATTATTTTTCGATTTATAGAAACTTGTCATTTTTTCTGTGCGTTAATATAAAATAGTTTTTCGGAATGTCTGGATGAAAGAATTCCACCCGATGCTTCAACTGATAGCCGCCCTGAAAAATTTTAAGTCCACATTTCTGATGCCCTATCTCCTGTTGTGATATTTTTTCCTTCTCCAAATTTCCAACACACACTTTCTACTTATCAACCGCTATCTGTGTTCCCAACCAACCCCATCGCGTGTTCTACGGATCGATTCAAGTTACACTGTGTACACTGTTTTCTATTGCCCTTTTTTTTAGAAATGAGACAAAAAAAAGTTTCTTGAAACGGCCAATCACTCAGTCCAATTATCATCACTATCAATACCCTTTACGCTTGCCATCGCTTGATGCAGGACAAACAAGGTCGGTTTTTCCTTTTCACTTTTCACGTTTACTTTGGAGTAATTAATACACTTTTAGTTTTGATTTCAGATCTTCACTTAGTTTATAATGGGAGTGACAACCAAGTCGTTCAGTTCAACAAGCAACAAACCGGATTAGAGCGAATTTTCGCCTCGGAAATGACCCACGACATTCACTTTTGCCGACTGATCAGGAAACTGGAAACGGTCATTTTTGAGGTACACAAAAATGCATTACTAGTCAATATACATTTTCTCAGGTGACGATCTATGGCAAAAATAAGAAAGAGGGCGACTTTAAATTGATAATACAGCCAGCGAAGACGAAGAAAACTGATAACGGAAGCATTTTGACAACACAGCACGTTTTGGAGCCGCCGAGTGTTTGGGTCGGAAATCCGCATAGGGGCATTTTCACATTTATGATGAAATTGGAAAAGGGTACGGAATCTGGAAATTGGTTTATGCCGCGTTCAAAGTTGATTTCCAGGAGAAACTAACTGGAAAAACGCTGTCCAAAACTATCATTGTTTTCCAGAGGCCTCCGCTTCAGTACCCGCCGTAAATCGACATGAATCAACAGAAAAACACAGTCAAAACGAGTGCTACAGTAGTTTAGTGTTACTGGAAATCTGGCAAACAATGACAGCTTTGGACAGGTTTTTTCCAGGAAATTTCTCCTGGAAATTAACTTTGAACGCGGCTTTTACTAAGGCATTAGGTTAAGTTTTTGGGGTCCGGTGTAAATCGAAAACTCACAACTGAACTACAGTACCGGACAATTCAAAACCCCGTTTTTCAGTGGATTTTGATCATTTTCAGGAGTCTAAAGCTCGGTTGTCAAGCTCACTTCAGGAGATTGTCAAACATACTTAGATAAAAAACTGTGCACTTACAGAAGTTTGCAAAATTCCTAATTTTTCAGCTATCTCCAATATCTGGAATAAACCAGTTTTTTTTTCACGTTCAATGCAAATACGGGCCAAAAATGGGTGTATCCCTGAAATGGGCGAATAGCTGCAAAACTAGGAATTTAGAAAAGTTTCGGCGAATGCAAAATTTCCAATTCAGGTCTATTTTACACCCTCCAAAATTTTGTTAGTGATCGGACATTTGACAGACAAGCTCCAGACTCCTGAAAATGGTCAAAATGACGAAAAATGAACCGAAAAATACGTTTTTGTGTATATCTTATGCATTTAATCGGATAGTGTATTTATTAGGATTTATTACAGGATTTCTGTACAAAATCATGTCTTGATTGAAATAAGGCATTCTCAAGATGAGATTAGAAATTTTCAAAAACTCAGAACTCTACTTTTCCCAAAATTTCTATTAATCCAACACCATTCCTTATTTTACAGACACCCTCCTAATGAAACTAGATGATGACACCAACTGGTTCACCGTTCTCTACTTCCCAACTAGCGTGGACTACTACAACGTTCGTATGACCCTGTGCAGAACCATCAGATCCGTTTTCATCATCACCAAGTTCGATAAAAACGAACCGCCGAAAATCTACGATCCCGATTTCCCAAAACTATACGACTCGAAAAAACTGACCAACGACTGTTCGTGTGGCGCGGTGACTGTATGATCAATTAATTTGTTCTTCCTTCACTAATTTTGATCTCCTTTTCTCTCTCACTTGTCTAGTACATTCAGTCATATTCTAGTTTTTTTTTTGGTCCAAGACAAAATAAAGTTTCCAAAACTAACGTATGTACACATACATACTCTTTGCTCCCTTTTTTTAATGAAACTTCCACTATATATGTACCAAAACTTTTCTCCTTCTTCTCTCTTTTTCCTTATTCCCTTCTATAGTACACTACCTACATATTTCCTTATCATTGTCGTCCATCATTTTGTTTCATATGAAAAGTTTAGATGTTTCTATTTCTCCTGTCCCCACCTCCTAGAAAATGTTCAGAAATCAACTGTCAAGTTTCGGAATGCGAACTGATGAGATCAGCTGAGAATTGAAATAGTGAAGAGAAAAAAAAATAAGTGAAGATAATTGGGAAAATGCCAAGAAAAAAACACGTCGTATGACTGGATGAGACAGTTATTTTGAAACCATATGATATGTGTGTTCATTATGATCACAAATCAAGGTTTGTTATTATTTTGATGAAATTGAGATTACTGAGATTTAACAGTGTCTATCAGCTTTGAAAAAAAATAGACTGAATAATAAACGAAAAACGTAATACTCAGAAAAAATTAAAAACCCTTACAATTTTGAAATCAACGAATTTTGGTATTTTTTGTTTTCAGAAGTCCACTTACTGTTTATTTATTTTGAAGCAATAATAGTTAAATATAAGAATTGAGAAAACATTGAATCGCAAAAAAATGATTTTGATGATTTTTAAGTTTTTTAGTTTTAATTTTTATCGGAATCATTAAAAATTTTCATTGAATTTAACAAAATTCATTTTAAACAAAATTCAGAAAAATGAATTTTTCGCGGAACTTTAGCAATGTTTATTTTCAGCGGAATTTTAGAAAAATTCATTTTTAGCGGAATTAAAAAAAATCAATTTTCTGCGGAAATCCAGCAAAATTCTTTTCAGCCAAATTAAAAAAAAAAAATTTTCGCGGAATTTTGGCAAATGCATTTTAACGGAATTTTAGAAAAACTCATTTTTAGATGAATTTAGAAAGAATTCGTCTTCTGTAGAAATTCTGCAAAACTAATTTTTAGCGGAATTTTAGCAACTTTCATTTTAACGGAATTCTAGAGCAGATTCATTTTTAGCGGAATTTTAGCGAAATTCATTTTTAGAATCATTTTTTAAAAAAATCATTTTTCAGTGGAATCTTAGCAAAATTCATTTCAAACGGATTTTCAGAAAAACTCACTTTTAGTTGAATGTTAGCAAAACGTATTATTTGCAAACTTTCAGCAACCTTCATTTTTAATAAAATTTTGAAAAGTTCAATTTTAGCGGACACTTAGAAAAATCAATTTTTACAGAAATTCAGCAAAATTCTTGTTTTTTATTTCAGCAAGATTTGTTTTCAATGGAATTTCAGCAAAATTTGCTTGAATCGGAATTTTCAGCAACTTTTCAGCAATATTCGTTTGTTGTGAAATTTCAGAAAATTCATTTCTAGTGGAATTTTCAGCGAAATTCATTTTAGTGGAATTTTCAGCAAAATTCGCTTTTATCATAAATTTCGGCTCTTTTTCAGCAATATTCGTTTTGAGAGGAATTTCAGCAAAATTCATTTCTAGTGGAATTTTCAGCGCAAATTTCAGCAAACTTCTTTTAAACGGAACTTCAGCTAAAATTATCTTCCGTGAAATTTTAGCAAAATTGTCTCCAAATAAACTAACAAAAAACAACTAGCTTACAACAAATCTGCATCCATAATACTTCGGACAGGCCGTTGTCTCCATCCTTTTCCCTTAGAAACATTATCATGTCTAATAAAAGCAAATGTTTTTTTTTCGCCCAAATGTTCTCATTTTCCTTCTTCTTCCTCTTCCCCCCTTGTCCTTAGTGTCCTCTCTCTCTCTCTCTTCATCATTGTTTCAGTACTATTGTTTGCCAACGTAAACGTATTATCAGCATCGCTGAAATTTGCGAACAATGGAAACAACACAAAACGTTTTGTAGATATGAAAAATTATGGAAATTGTTGGTGTAGTCGGAAAAAATGTTTTTTTGTGAGGCTGAAACTAGATTCAATTTGCACCGATTAGTGTTTTTTGTTGTTTTTGTTTTTTAAAGCTCCAAAAACAACCAGATTTGTGTGTTGAACTGTTGTACTATGTTCATTTTTGTTCATTTTAAGAAAAGCGCGGAACCAAAATCCTCCTATCAAATTAGGTTTTTTTTTCTCTTATCACAATTATCTCTTTTAATCAGTGTTGTCACAATACGTGAGCGTTTATTTTAGTAGTATGGAATGCGGCGTCCTTGGTTGACCAGACCTGAAGGCGTTCTTCGGCGAAACAAGGATCCCGAGAAAAAAAATCATGATTTCTTGTTTATGTAATCGTAATCAGTGTAATCAAGATACTCCCTTTTTTCTTCGTTCCTTGTTCGATTTTCCTTAGTTTACTGCACTCCCCTATTCTTTGTTATTGCCCAGCCCCTGAAATCAACCTCGACTCCGCCCATTGGGGTAGCCATAAAAAGAGGAACTTGGGTAAAGGGTCCATGTCATATGAGAGATTGTACTATTCTCATTGCTTGATTGTATCTATCTTGACTGACCTTGCGTTATTTCTACGATTGGTCAAACTTGAGTGATTTGCCGCCTTTTTTTTATATATCATGTTGCCACTTTTTTTTTTTGGAATTTTCTCTAGTTTTCTAGTCTTATCAATTTTCAATTTACTACAAATTATTTCAGAACTTTGTCCAATATGCTCAGGATACTCACAATCACTCTGGCTTTCGTAGCGGTAAGTCATGGTCATCAAAAACCGTCTAAAAACTAGGTTGATCAATGAATCACTGATAGGGATAGGGCGCCAACTGGTCTAGATCTCGGTCAAGTGTGTTGTGATGTAATAGCAACATCCGGAGATAACTACTCCTGTTTTGCAGATTGTCTCCGGAGAACTGTCGAAAACCAAAGAAGATAAAACACTTAAAGATTTGGAGGATAAAATTGTTAATGACATCATCACACACAAAGTATGTTAGAGGAACTAATGGAAGAATATTAACATTTTGGGGATTTTAGGTCATGGTATACAGTAAGACTTATTGTCCATGGAGCAAGCGGCTGAAGGTGATCCTTGCCAATTATGAGATTGATGATATGAAAATTGTGGAATTAGATAGATCAAATCAGACAGAGGAGATGCAGGTGAGTCATGATTCTCTAGATTACCGTATTTTCCCTAATAGAAGCCCACGCCTACTTTGAGCTTAATCATCTCGATTCCTGTGGAAGATATCAAAAATTGGTCAACTGATAAAATATTGGTTATATTATGATCAACATTTTATTAGTCAACAGATTTCTCATATGTTTCATAGGATCCGAGATAATTGAGTTCAAAGTTCACGTATAGCGTGTGGTTCTATTAGAGGCAAAACGGTAAACTGTTCCTGATGAATTTCAATAACTATACGACGTAGCAAAATAATCAGAATATGAGAAAGGAATATAAGATATCAAAGGTCCATAAATGAAATTCTAACATTATCCAACTGGAAATTGGAGACATACTTTCCTATTTATCGTGTTTCCTCTAATAGAAGCCCATCCACACCATCAACTTGGATCTGAATTACCTCGATTTCTGTTAGAGATATCAAAAATTTGTCAACTGATAAAATAGTGGTGATATTACGATAAACAATTCATCAGTTTATTATATGTTGATATGTTTCACGAGAAACGAGATAATGGAGCTCAAAGTGGACAGTTTGTGTTAGCTCCTAGGAAATACCTATGTTGATAACCAATGTTTATTTAGAGAGTTCCTAGGTAGTTTGAAAGTTAGATTCCATAGTTCATTGAACACTCAAAACGAAACATTTCATTTCAGGAGATCCTCAAAAAATACTCCGGTAGAACACCGTTCCTCAACTCTTCATCAGTGGAAAGTTTGTGGGTGGACATGACGAAACAAAGGCTATCGAGGAGAAAGGAGAGCTTCGACCAATGCTGGAGAAGGCTCACGCTTTGTAAGTGTTCTCTTTTTTCACTTATTTCAGAATCACCCCAAGATGTCCGTAACTGTCCACCCACACTCACTGTTTCCTCTATAATTCCCCTGATTCCAGGTTCACTAACCGAGTACCTGTACCTGACAACGGTGCGTGAGTTGGTTTGTGCATGTGTCAATCTCTCTCATCGTCCAATATCACGTATATAAAGCATGGACCATTCCTTTTTATCTGTTCCTTCCACTTGAAAAATTCCTCATGAGCATCACGGTTATCATGTTGTCCTTGTTTTTCCCCTATTTTCCATCACTTTGTTGCATCCCATCCCCTTTGCCATCCCCCTTGTCTGTAAAATGAAGCGTTTTCGATTTTTGGTTTGGTTTCAGACGAAGAGTGAAATAGATAGAATTCTACAACAACCAGCAAATCAACTAGAAGGTCTTCAGAATACAAAACTCGCACTTCTACCTCTTCTTCTCTTCTTCCTCTTCTATTTTTTTCTCACTATTCCTTAGTTCAATCCTTTGTTTTATTTTTGTTATTGCTTCATGGTAACCGAATGCTCCTCTCCCTTTTTTCCGAATTCTAATTGAAATTCCGTGCGTTTCAGAGATAATAGAGACGAATTCTGAAGCGTTGGCGGTGAAAACGAAAGCATCCGCTGCCGCCCTCCCATCATTTATTGCATTTCTCAGCATCGTCACTGCTCTCTTGTTCGGTGTTTCGTTTTATTATTAATAATATCAATAATAATAAAATACAATTCTGACACAGTATTTTTTTGTTTCCCATGATTTTTCTCTTTTTGCAACTTTTCAAAGTCTATTACGAGGTTTTATATTTAAATAAAGTGAAATTGAATATTCAAAAGTAGTGAGAAATTCCGGCTAAGACGATTAAGGATATTATGTGGGTGTTCAAGGGTGGTAGTGGTGTATAACACAGACAATATGGGCCCGATGCAGAGTGTCAGGGTCATTTTTGTCTTATCGAGTCTCATCATTAGTTAGTATGAGGCTATGTCGGGGTTTTTTTGTCGTTTACGACCATTCAGGAAGACGTGTCATCGATTTTTTCAAACATTTCCCCTTAAATTTACCCCGTTCAGTTATGTTATCTTGGCTGTTCCGCTCATTTTTGCAATTTTCCAGTAAAAATATACCTTTTTCAAATTAGTCTAAAATTGTAAAAACTCCCAAAAAATTTGAAAAATCCAGGAAAATTGATGGAAAATAACTGTTCAAATTGACTTGTTTCTTTATATAGCTAATTAATCTTTTTGAAATATTTTTTAGAAAAATTTCAATTTCGAAATTCTCCTGAACCACTAGTCTCAATTAGATTTTTTTTCAATAATGATGCCAATTCATTTTTATTCGAAACCAGCTAGCTCGTGCGCTTTCGGCGCAATTTGATCTACTCACTGGTTCGATACCTTTTCAAATATAGGGAATCTGTAAATTGCTGAGAATAAGGAGTTCTTTGTAATGACCCTCTCTCCAGTTTGTTCATACAGCTAAGCAAATTCTATAACAAATTTTTTTTTTGAAAAAAACCACAATTGAAAATATTTTCCTGTACCACCCAACCCCAGTCAACAACCTCATCGTTAAGAGCAAACAAACAAACAATCGCTTTTTTCCTGTGTCAATATTTTGCGGTCATATGACATTTTTTCGGTGGAATTTCGTTAAATTTACACTAATTTTTTATTTTCAAAAAATTTAAAAGCATTTTCTTAATAGTTTTAGAATTGTTCTATCAATTAATCAATTTTTCTAATACCCTTGAAACCTGTTATAATCTAAAACTTTGAGCCTATTTACCTTGATTCCTGATAAAGATATGAAAAAGTTGTTAACTGATAAAGTGTTTATCATAATATCGTAAACATTTGATCAATTGGCATATTTTTGATATCTTTTAAAGGAACCGAGATAATTGAGCTCAACCTAGACAGTGTCTAGTGAAATTTCTTCAGAGATTTGACCCACTTTGTAGCCTTCACAATTTTTCTCTAGATTTTTTTTTATCATGGATACACATCCAATGCATCCAAACACAATAAACATCTCTCCTCCACCACAAATCCATTCCCTGCAATTTCCATGATCCAAGAAAGACGGAGACAGTTGAGGGCAGCCATCATTCGCCTCATTCCTCTCATTTCTTAAGCCTATGTCGCCGATAATTTTCTTTGTGTCTCCCCGAAATCCGCGCACTTCAATTCCTTGCGCCCCCCACCGTCTTTTGTGTCGCACCAGCGGCAAGTCCGTTCGGACCGGTCCGATTCTTCCTTGGGCTGTGATCGTCTTCACGCACCAACAGCTTCTATTCTTCTTTACTATTGATTCAATGCATTCAAAATGTGTTAGAAGCTAAGAAAGTGATGTTGCAAGTTGAATGATCGACGACAATTGATGATAAACGAGCGAGTTCATTGTCCAGACCACAAAAATTTTGCTGATAAATCTTAAGCATCATCACGTTCCCTTATACTATCAGTCGCGCCCTTTTCTGTGCTCCAAACTATCAAATTTTCCATTTTAAAGCTTTTGTGAGAACATTTTTCTTTCTAAAATTTGAAAAAACTTTTGAATCCAAAATTGTTCTAGTTCAAACAAACTCCCACAGGAACTATTTTTCACTGGGTTCTAATCATCATTGTTTGACTTTTTTCCAACAAAATGCGCTGACAATTTCTGTGTGGGGTTAAAGTAAACATGTTTGTTCAGGCGGAAGTAGTGCACAAATTTATAGATGGTATTCCGGTCATTTGTTCTATATTTCCCTTGATTTTTGAATTTTTTCTTCTTGCATCGACTTTCTAAAACTCTAAAAATGTATTATTTCTTCAGAAAATGACTGCGATAGGACCGGTAGATAGAAAAGCGGTCATGAAGCTGCTAATACCGGCGCTAATCTGCAATATGTTGGCATTTACATCTATTCTGCCTTTATTCCCAACTATTTTGAATTATTATTCCAAAGAAGGTCATAGGGTTAGTTTTTTTACCCCATTTTTTAAAGAGATTTTTTTGTTTTAAGCCTTTTATATCCTCAAATTTCAGGATTGGTTATATGATATCAGTGTGAAAGGGCTTCAATCCTTCCAAGAAGCCATCGGTGTGCCACATAGCGAACGATATGATAAGGTGTTCTTTGGAGGTATTAGCATTTTTTTGAAAAGTATTATTTTTAATTTTTGGGATATTTTAAGGCTTCCTGGGATCCCTATTTAGTGCGCTGCAATTCATTTCCTCCCCGACACTTGGGTCATTATCCGACATTTATGGGCGGCGAGCAATTATCAGTTTGTGTTGTATTGTGACATTTATTTCTTACGTTGTGAGTCAGAATAATTCAGTGGAAATTTGAAAAAAAAATAGCTGAGCAATGAAGTTCAGAACTGGCTCAAGGCAGATACTTTTGCCTATTTTGTACTTGCAAGGATTTTGGGTGGTTTGAGCAAAGGAAATATCAATGTGGCTACTGCAATTGTGTCGGACGTGTATACTCCAGAAGATCATCCAAAAGGAATGGTAAGGGTAAAAAAAAATTAATTTGAAAAAAATTGGTTTCAGGCACTCATCGGAATTTCCTATTCCTTGGGTTTCCTGATAGGTCCAATGATTGGGGCATACTTTTCGACAATTGCTTCATCAACGGTGAGTACTTGGTTCTTTTCATAGCGAAAAAGCCTTGAGACCTATATTCAGAAAAGGTAATGACGCAATTTACAGTAACAGGTCAATAAGATAATCAAAAACGCATTTTTCAATCGATTTTCGGCCATTTTGACCACTTTCAGGAGTGTGGAGCTGGGCTGTCAAGTTTCCGATCACTTTGAAATTTCTCGACGGTGTAAAACATACCTAGATTGAAAAATATGCATTGACATAACTTTTAAAAATTCCTAGTTTCTTGTCTCTCCGACGATTACTGAAAGACACCGTTTTCATCTTTTTAGTCCAAAGACCGGTCAAAAAGGGAACCTGACAGCCGAGCTCCAGACTCACGGCGGTAAAATCAGGCACATGGATTTGAATTTAGGCTTCACATTTTCTTCAGACGCAAGCGGTTCCGTCGCTGTCGCCGTTCAAATCTGAAAAATCTAAATTCAAATCCATGGGTCTGCTTTTACCGCCGTGAGACTCCTGAAAATGGTCAAAATGACCGAAAATGAACTTAAAACACCTTTCTGTATGTCTTATGGACCGGTACAGTATACTGGATTAGCAATGACCTAAAACAAAGAAGAAGAAAAAACTGAGATTCAAAAAAAAGACATAACGAAATTCGTCTGGAACAATAATTTGCCAACGCAAGAAGAAAAACATTTAAAAAATCCGAATAACTAATTCTCCTAAAGTCCAAATACCAATAACCAATTCAATATCAAATTCCAGGACTCCCCATTTGCCGCGCCTGCAATTTTCTCCATTGTCCTCACCGTCATCGAATTTGCCTTCTTGTTCTTCCTCCCGGAAACTTTGGATCTCAAAGAACAGGTGTGTATTCTTTATTCACAAAATTGTAGTTTGTGTATTTTTTTTCAGAAAAGCCTAGATGACATCAAGAAGACACGAAAGGAGCTGATCACTCCAAAGGATTTGTTCCAGTTCACGGCGGTGAATGCCCCTCAAGATAGTGAGTGTTTCAACATCAAATAATATATAAATTGCCGATTTTCAGAGAAGAAAGAAATGCAGAAAATCGGATGGATCTATTTTCTCTTCTTGTTCTTGTATTCAGGTCTTGAATTCACTTTGCCCTTCCTGACACACTTAAGATTTGACTTTGATAAGTGAGCATTTCATAAAATTCCTTGTTCATTTAGTAAAAAGAGTTTTCAGTATGCAACAAGGGAAACTCTACCTATTCACTGGCCTTTTGATGCTTCCAATTCAGGGAAAATATGTCAGGAAGACCCCTATTGAGAAGTGAGTTGCGGTGCAAAAACGAAATCCAGGAAATACGCATCTAATATAATTTTCCAGACAAAAGGCTGTCGCAGAATTTGGAATTGCTTGCATCATCCCGGCATATTTACTGGTGGCTGTTGCCCAAACTCCACTTGTGCTTTATGCCGGACTCTTTTTCTATGCGATTGGTGAGAGAATGGAAGAAAAATAAAAGGGAATCTATTGTTTCCAGCATCTGCCACCGTTGTTACCAGTCTGACTTCGTTAGTGCACGTCATCTATCCGCAGAATGAGAAAGGTGTACTTGCTGGAATATTCCGAAGTCTGGGATGTCTGGCAAGAGCACTCGGACCAGTTATATCGTCTACTTGTGAGTAATTGAGAAGTTCTTAAATGAGATTACTGTAGAAAAACCGTAGAACACCTTAATATAGCACCGGTCAGTTGATTTTCGGCCAATTTGACCATTTTCAGGCGTCTAGACCTCAGCTGTCAAGTGTCCAATCACATTGAAAACTTGGGAGGATGTAAAACAGACCTAGATTGAAAACTTTGCATTCTTAGAATTTTTGAAAATTCCTAATTTTTCAGCTATTTGTCAATTTCTGAAAGACATCCCTACATATTTGTACTGAAAACGTGAAAAAAGCAAGTGTCATTCGAAAATCGGCCAATAACTGAAAAACTAGAAAATTTCGAAAAATTCTGTTAATGCAAAATTCTCAGTCTAAGTCTGTTTTACACCATCCAAAGATTCCAAAGTAAAACATCTGAAAAATTCTGGAAACGCAAAACTTTTAATTTAGGTGTGTTTTATGAGTTTCAAAGTTTTCAAAATGAATAGAAACTTGATAGTCAAGCTCCAGACTCCTGAAAATGGTCAAAATGACAGAAAATCAACGGAAAAACGCGTTTTTGTATATTTTATTGATAGGTACTGTAGTCCAAGAACATAGTAATCAAGAACAGCATGAAAGCTTCTAAGCGAGCTTGAAAATCGTTAAAAATGTTTATTTTCCAGTCTTCTGGCTTCTTGGCGCCACTTCCTGCTACATCATGGGCGCCTTGCTCCTAATCTTCCCTCTAATTCTTCTCAAACGCCTGGAGAACCCAACCGCCAAGAAAACCGTATAACATTTTTCCAACAAATTTTTGGAAACAAATTATACGAGATACATAAGCTGAACTTTGTCTTAGTTTCTAGTCATTCTCCTCCCTTTTTATTCAAGTTTCTTTCACTTTACGGTTCCCATTTGCACAATATTTGTTATTTCTGTTCCATTCCAAAATGTACATTTCATTTTTCTGTGATTAATATTTATTATTCTGTGATCATTTGATTCAATGAAACTGAAAATATCGCCGGTTGAACGTTTCGAAAAGCGCCTGTTTCCGCTCCGTGATTTCTGCCATTTCCGCTTTGGAGATCACCTGCAAAAAGGATCAAAAGGATCATTTTGCAAAAAAAGCCTTGACCTACTTTTGATATGAACACTGTTGCAGCTCTATGTATATCTTGTCGTGATCCACCGACTTCTTTCATAGTTTTTAAGAGGATTCGAAGCTTCCGCCATTGTTCTGGTGACAAATATCGGCGGATGAAGTCCTGAAATTTCAAAATGCCATAAATAGAAGGCCATCCTATACTCGAACTTTGAGCTCAATTATCTCAATTTCCATGAGAGGATAACAAGAGTCTGTGAATGAATAAAATGTTTAACATAATATCACCAATATTTTATCTGTTGACAAAATTTTGATATCTTTAACGGGAACCGAGATATATGGGTTCAAAGTTAGCGTTTGGCAAGTTCTTCTTTTTAGAGTTTAGGGTCTTTAGATTACTGAAGCACACGCACCTTTGCTTCTGACACCATATTCGGAAATGTGTCATCTGGAAGTGACGCAAACACAGATGGTTTAGGTGTTGGAAAATCTGGTAGGGGCAACGTTGTTGTCTCAACTTTCGGTTGAATTCCACCGGCCAAATGATTAGCAAACTCGGACAACATCATTGGCCTTGATTTTGGCAGTGACGTTGGCGTTTCCGGTTGATTGGAGTCAGTGCCGTCATAGTCGGGAAGGACGCTCTCCGGTGGAACAGACACCACCGAACTGATCAGATCTGTCGTTGATTCATCAGTGTCTTCTGAAGAAGATGACGTGGAATTATTCATAGCGGCGTCTGACGGTGAAGTTTGATTGTTTGATTTGTTCTTCATGAAATCTTTGGCTTCCGATGAGGAGAGCTCTTCTAAGAGCATGTTGATTTCAATTTTCGGCATCAAAATTCGTTTTGATGCTAGGCTAAGAACAAAAGAGTAGAATAGGAAGCATGAGAGAAGCCGTCGAAGAACAAACATCAAAAAATCCAATAAAAAATGTTTGAAAGGCAGTCGTATAAGTTAGGTTACAAGAATAAAATGGATGGGTTTCAGAAATGAAACTTGGCGAAATTATAATTATGATCGAAGACTGCCCTCAACTGGTTTTGGGCTGTCTCCTCTCCTTCAATGGCACATTTAGGGGTTTTTTTTCTATTCATTGTTACTTGTATTTCCTCCTTGTGACCGTCCTTTTGAACTTGATCTACTACGTAGACAGTGTCCGTGTGTGTGTGGGCGGAAATTTTTCAAGTGGACTAATTTACGCGACTAAAATAAAATTTTTTCATTCATTCATTCAAAAATACAATACTTGTATCGGAAAATTTTGGCTGTAGACAGAAAATGGAAAAATGAGAAGAAGAAGACATGAATTAATACTGCTGCTGAGGATTGGAGACCACAGAGAGCCGAACAGATTTGACAACCACTGAATTGTTATTTTTAGCTTCACTTTTGCTTTGCACCACTACTGACGGCACTGACTTGGAAGGTTTCAAGGCCTGGTGATTGGCAAGGAGCTGGAAAAAATAATTAAATTAAAATCTCTGTTCAATTTGAGTACCTTTGATCCGCTTGGTGAGTTGCAGGCACTGGAGACATTGCTCACCGACTTTGGTCTCTTTGATCCGCCACGTTTTGGGGTGGAATTCTGAAACTCGCTCTTGACCCGTCTAGACCGCGCGGATCGATTTTCATTGGTTTCACTGAGATACTTTTGGAACTGTGGAGGAACTGTGGACGACGATTTTTCATCTGTTAGTTCTGAAAATACCAATTATTTGAGGTTTCAAAATCCTATAAAAAATCACCTATTCGGAAAGTACGCATTATCCAGAGTTGGACACTTTGATTGGACACATACATGGCGTATCTAATCTCAATCAACCTGCTAGCATAAATAAAGGCATCGGCTAGAAGCTTGGCGACGTGTAAAAATTGAGCAAAGATTCCAAGATACAATCTCGCTCTTTTTTGAAGGTTCATAACCATTGGAACCAAAAAGTTGATTGTGGTTGGTAGCCAGCCTAAACAAAACGATAAGGAACTCCTCATAAAAGTTCTAGGTACCTATACAAGCAGATCCTGCCAACAAAAGTATGGTGATCAGCAATTTTCGATTGTTTCTACGTGTGGTGTTGTTGGCTAACAATGGGTCTCGAGAGATTCTACGCATATGAATGAGAATGTGAAGGTAAAGGTAGGAGAGCATCAAAATGAAGAAGATGAAAGGGCCAACAAGTGTGGCTCGGAAATAATTGTTTCCTGAATAAATATTTTATATCTAGTTTATGAGCCTATAATTTTTTTCTCACTGTATATTTGAAGTCCAGCGCAACCTTCGTTATCGAAAAATGCAAACGCCTTGTGGGCTCGAAGACCTATAAACCAAATGAATTAAAAACCAAGACGACCACCAGATACCGTACCTCCAGGAAAAATGGTGAAGATCAAGAGGTAGGTAGTCAAGGGGATGATATAGGCTAAGATAACAGTCCATCTGACGTTTCTCGGGGTGAAAAAGTTGCGGTGAAGGGGATAGACGATTCCGACGTAGTGGTTCAAGGCGAGAGCAGCAAGTGTGACAACAGAAGCGGTGAAAGTAGACATTTTGATAACCTAAAAAATATCATTTACAGTGCCGGCCAAAAATTTATGAAAACGCTTTTTTTTTGTTGGTTTTGACCGTTTTCAGAAGTCTTGAGCTCGGCTGTCCAGTGTCCGATCACTTCGCAAACTTCGGAGAGTGCAAAACAGATCTAGATTGAAAACTTTGCATTCATAGAATTTTTTGAAATTCCTAATTTTTCAGCTACTGGCCGATTCCCGAAAGGCACCTGTTTTTTTCACGTTTCCAGTACAAAAACAGGAATTAAGGAGGTGTATTTCAAAAATCGGCAAATAGTTGATTTTTCAAAAAGTTCTCGGAATTTTCAAAAAGTTATGTGAATGCGATGTTTTCAATCTAGGTATGTTTTACACCCTCTGTTTCTCTGAAATGTTGCTTTTCACTCCCTTACCTCTAGCAATAACGAAGTGCAGTTTGAAAAATGGCTGAAGAAGATGTTGATCAAGTAAGTTAGGATGTAGCAGACCGAACAGAGCGCATCACATGCCAGAAGAAAAACACACAATCTCAAATTCACCGAAACAGGTCGTCGGAGATTCCTAGCACACTGAAATATAACAATGGGGTTTCCGAACCTAACTTTATTTTAAAAATTCAAGTTCAACTTTTTGTTATTTTACTGAGACTACTAAGAAAATCGGACCTATTGGAATAGCAAACTCACACTCAACAGATACAAGTTCACCAACAGCGCGATTATTGAAAATGTGGTCATGGTTATGGCGGAAAAATTGACGAGGTTGGTCTCATATCGTTGTACCGCTTCTTCCAGCTCAGACAGGGTTATGGTTTCGTTATCCATTCTGAAATAAACAAAAAATGAATTTATAATGAATCAATGGGAACATCATTGGTCAACGATCACTGAAGGAATAAGAAGTTAATCTAATCCCTTTAAAAGAAAAGAAAAAAAAGAAACCTAAGATACATGGAAATCTTAAGAAGAGATGAGACCAATACAGATTTGAACGGTGATGTATGAATAAGCATCTTCTCTCTCTCTCTCTCTCTCTCTCTCTCTCTCTCTCTCTCTCTCTCTCTCTCTCGAAGCATGCATTAGAAATGTGGCGAGTGTTGCTCTATCTCTCCAGAAGCTCCGCCCACTTTTTGATTCTGATTTCAACACATATTATGTGCATTGAAATGAGACATATGATACAGTAGAATAAACTTCAAAACTTTTTTTCTATTTTTCTTATTTCAGGTTTTCGGTTGGGTTGACTAATAAGGCAAAACTGAAAAACAAAAAATGAGTAAGCAGAGCTGAAAAGAAGCTGAAAATAAGAATACGGAAGGAGAAGAAGAAGGTGGGGCTCTATTATATGGGACCTCTTTTTCACAAAGGACACCATCCGGATGAATAATATGGGCGGTGGGAAAAGATACAGTGTTGGCTATAAATATATGGAAAAATGTGATTTTAAAATGATTTTCGGTCACTTTGAACATTTTCAAAAGCCCAGAGCTCGGCTGTCAAGTGTCGGATCACTTTGAAAACTTTGGAGGATATAAAACTGACCTAAATTGAAAACTTTGTATTCACAGAATTTTTGGAAAGGTCCTTTATTGGCTTATTTCTGAAGGACACCTGTTTTTCACGTCTTCAGTACAAGAATAGGAAAAAGGAGGGGTCCTTCAGAAATCGGCAAATAACTGGAAAACTAGGAGTTTTCATAAAGTTCTGTGAATGCAACTTCGTCAACCTAGGTCTGTTTTTGAAATCACCGAAATTTCCAAAACGTTCGGAAACTGAGCTCCAGACTCCTGACAATAGCCAAAATCAAAAAAACTGTAGGTTATCCAACATGGGAAGTAATTTTTAGTCTTTTGGAAAACGAAAGTTGAAATTCTAAGAACCCCTCTGGCTTCGTAGCAGATTTCAGATTATAAACTGATCATTTGAAGGTTCCAGACTATACCTAAAGGCTTCAAAAATAAGGCTTCTAAATTTTTAATCATCAAGTTTCAAATTTCTAAACGCTACTGTAATTGCTTCAATAATTGGAGCGCACTTATCTTCCTCGTTTAATTGAAACGTTTTATGGCATCCGGAAATAAAAAAAATGGGAAAAAGAAAAATAAAGGTCATGTCAGTTACACGTGCGGGACTTCCACTCTTCTTTGCTCTAGTAGACAAGGCGGAGTTTAATTTGACAGATAAATAGGCATGAATCAGAAGGTTGTTACAGTCAAATGAGCATTCAGAAGGATTGACGCGTTTTTTGGGGGAAAGCAAGTTATCACAAACAAGAAAAGTTCTCGAAAATCACGTCAGAAACTCACGGTTTCAATTATAGTTTATCGGAAGATTATTTTATTAATGTTACCCGTGTGAAACTGGAGGACTAGGATTTTGAAGAATCGGATGAAACGCATTTCATATGAAATCTGCAACCAATTGGACCCAGAGTGCGTCTTCTTTTAAATAAACAATTTTCCAGTTTATTTTGGTCCAACATGTGTTGTGCTTTGTTTCCCAAACATCAATCAAACAAAAAAAATGTGTATGCGCCTTGAAACAAATGATTACAATTGGCCTTTATGATCCACGGGCTTTCTTTGAAGACCCAAATGATGAATCTGTTATAAAAATGGCAAGGAGAAAAATGCAAATAATCTAATTTAAGAGACTGAATGGAACGAATACAATAGGAGGCGTGCACTAATTAGAAGCACACGCTATCCGGTCATGTGTGCGGGGCTTAAACGGAAACGACCAAGAATTATTATACCCACCACCAAGCCAAGAAATCCTAGAGAAACATACCCATCAAGAATTTTATGTTGGTGTTGTTGAAATTTTGAGAAAAAGAGAAAAACGTGAAAATTAGGAAATTTAAAAAACAACTTTTATCCTTTTTCTCCTCGAAAATAAAATTCAAAAAAGGAGAGAAAAACTTGAAAAGAACCGGAAACACATAAATATTCAAAATGGACATATTCATCATAACTACTCCAGAAATACACTTCCGAGATCGGCCAGTTCAAAAGTGTATCATCTTTTTTCTTTCGAATTTTTTTCAAAACGCATTTTCTATTCTAAATACCAAGAATCCCACAGTAAATGAGCTCATAGGGAGTTTATTTTTGAATAAATTTTATTTTTGAATAAGAAAAATCCAAGCTGAGAAAATTGAACTTGTTTATTCGGCTCCATCTATGTTAATTTCAGGAAAAACATATTCAAAAATAGATGGGATGGTTTCACTAATCAATCTTCATCGTGTACACGCTATGAATGCGACTAACAACATTCATCAAAGAAGAAAAAAGAGACGTTTAGGTTCTTCCTCCTATCTCCTATCCTATCCGCCATGTCAAAACGTCACCGATGAGTATTGAAACACCGTATCTTTTCCAGCACATCATTATTGCCTCGGGCTGAACACTCAGTGCGACATCCAAAATTAATGGAATTTCCTGCGCCGGGGGTGTCTTAGAAAGAAGCGGGCGTTTTTTGGAGCTTCATTGCACTCCCTTTTTGTGATCTCTTGAGCTTCCAGAGAGATCATAAAAGTTTCTGGGGAAGACCAAAAAGATCGGAAGAAATGGAGTTCTTAGAATGAAATAAGAGTTTAATATTAAAAATATGAAGCAAGCTATTAAATTTCATACGGGGGTGAAGAATAGAAAATTTGCAATAGTTTGAATTTGTTATTCTGAGAATTTTGATGGAAATGACAGAGCAAAATCTTCAGGGGACCATTTGGAGAATGGGAATCAAGAAGCTTGACAACTTGGCTTAATGACTTTCAACTATGGTAAAAATTGCCGACAACCCGCTAAATAAAAATTTTTGGAGCAGAATTAGGAAATCCAAAAATACCAAAAATTCCAACCATTTGCAGAATAGTTTCGCGAGATTCTATCATAACGAAATTTCGACTCGAATGTTTCCAAAGTTTTTTTTCAGAATTAGAGATTTTTGGAATACTGTACGTCAAAAGCGCGGTTTTTCCGTTTTTGTAATTTCTACTTCAAATTTTGAATTTCAACAAAATCGCAAAATTCCAAAATTCCTGTTTTTTCAAATTCGGAATACTCCAAAATTCTAAAATCCCAAAAAAAATCTCAAATCGAAATATTCCGAGATTCCGGTATTTCGAAAATTTCAGAATCGGAATTCTCCAAAAATCCAAAATCCCAAAAATTTTAAAATCGGAGTATTTCGAAATTTTTGAAAATTGGAATAATCAAAGATTCCGAAATTCTAAATTTTCCCAAATACGGATATACTGAGATTCTGAAATTTTCAAAATTTGGAAATCTAATTATTCCAGATTTTGAAATTTTGAATTTCTCAAAATCGGAATCATCGAGATTCCGAAATTACAAATTTCTCAAAATCGGGATATACTGAGATTCTGAAATTTTAAAATTTTTGGAATAATCCGAAATTCTGGAATTCCGAATTTTTCAAAATTGGAATAAACTTAGATTTCAAATTTTCAAAATAAGAGTGTTCCAAAATACTGAAATTGAGAAGTTTTTGAAATCGGAATATTTTGAGAACTATGGAATTCCAAATTTCACAAAATCGAGATCCCGAAATTTCGAAAATTTCGAAAATTGGAATATTCCTGAATTCCAAAATTCCGAAATTTTCAGAATTGGAATATTTCGATATTCCAAAAATCAAAGGTTTTCAGAATAGGAATATTCCGAAACTCTGAAAATGGGAATTTTCGACATTCCGAAAAATTACGAAAAAGCCATACCGAACACCCTGTTGAAGCAAAAAAAATCATAACAACACAATTAAATATTACTACCGTCATAGTATATTGCTCATACAGAAGCTCTACACTAAAATGCTAGACAATGAGCAAATTACGATGAGCAAAAAAAGACGTTTTGCACGACAGCTCGCAGATAATGAAACCGACAAATCAAAACGCGTCGGTCGCTCATCACTGAATCTAAAATTCTAAATCTAGAAATATCCTCCCATTCTCTCAAAATTACACATTCACCAATCGCCTACCAATCGTTTTAATTATTCATAGATGCAGATAGCACGTATTTCAAACGTTTAGTTATGCCTAAAAACTCTTGTCATGATTTAAGAGTTCAAGATAGGATCTTCAGGATTTAACTATACAAAATGCACTTTTCAAAAAAGCTAGGTCCATTTTTACAAAATTCTAAGAGCATCGAAATCTATCAAAACAGCTTTCGGGTTTCAAAAAATCTCGGGAAGGTTTACAGTCATTCTAGCGAAATTCTGATCTGTGATCTGGAAGATTTTACAACCAAAGCTCTATCTAAATTTAAACTTTTTCTGGTGAAAATTCCAATTTTTAAATTTTAATTGCTAGACTCTGCAATATGCATCATAGAACTAAAAGAAAATGAGTTTGCTGGATAATTATAGAAGTTTTCTCTTTCAACCACATTTCTTGACCAGAAGAAATAAAGAAAATGGTGTCATAGATTCACACGTCATGACACAAAGTAGAGAATTGTGCTGGCCTGTAATTTAATAAGGCGCGAGGGCATATGTAAATGTAAGAGCTGCAAAAAACGTGGCAAATGGATCGCCCCCCGCAAATTAGATCAATCTCCGGAGGGCGTAGGGAGGAGGCTTCTTGTGTGAGAACTCTTGTTCAATGGTCTTTTTTTCCACATAACTGGATTTATCAGGGGGCAAGCTTCTCTCTTTGTCTCACAAAATCAAGAGCACGAAATTTCGAGAAAGAAGGAAGTTTTGTGATGCTTGAATGATCAAGAAACTTGCCTAACCGCTCATTATTTCGAAAATTCGCAACACCAAACCCTTGTGACTAGAAAGCTAAAAACTTC